TTTAAGCAGCCAACTGACTTACACTGTAATATGAAACTGCATGTAGGTTGATTTGAGGCTCTTTGCTGCTCCTGTAACAATTGTGATATTTCTAGAAGACTTTGAGAGAAAATTAGCTGGCATAGTTGCTTTATCAAACATATAACCTATGCCTCTAATTCACTGTTAGAAGAAGTAAATAACCATGAACCCAGTTTTCTCCAGCTTGCAAATCACTTTGTGCTGCATTCTAATGTTCTTCTGATTATAATGGTGTGGTTTGTATTTGTGCTACAGGAGAAAACTGAAAGCTCTCCATTCTGTGTATCAATAAAACAACCACAGGCTCAAGAGAGGAAAAAAGCAGTAAATGTTTAAGTATCTAATGTTGGTGCAAAATATTCAGTGTTGTTAAACTCTGAAGGGTTAGTAGCCATTGTCAGCGTGTGGTTTTAGTAAGCCTGGGAAGACTAAAGAGTCCAAAGCATCTTCATTCAGAAGTGGTTTTCTGTGATGCAAAACCAGCAGAGCAAGGAAAGCAGAAGCTTGCTGTGTTTTAAGAGGTGTAAGAATGTGCCGAAATACAGCCTGGGAAGATGGGTAACAGATGAGGAGTATGTGTGAATTGTCAGCTTCTGGGTGTACTGGAAGTCTTGGGCTGTGCAATGCTTTTCATTGTCACTTCCTGTTTGTCTTGCTTGTCGCTGTTTTGTGTTTCAGGCTGTCTCTAGCTCAGGAAACTTAATTTTAATGTTAGCCAAATTCTGGAAACTTGGAACAGTAGCTTTTAGCCAAGCTTGGACTGAGCTCAAAACTTCCATCCTACCTAATGGAATCTTTTCCTACTGAAATGCTTGGAAAAAATGTTCTGGACTCCATGGGGCCTTTACTAAAAGAAAAAATAAATTTGTTGCATTTCAGTCTGTAAAAGTCACATATATCTTCCCTTCGATATATGACCTTCCCTGTTTCCGAGAAGCTTTATTTTTGAGTCTAGGCCTGATGGTTTTAAAACTAGATTTTAAGAACATCCTCCACTGAAGTACTCAATCAAATAGTTGAGCTTGATAGTTAAACCCGTAAAGCTTTCAGACTGGCACTTCACTTTTATATGACTTTTGTCCTCTTAAGAACAGTCAATGGTTTCTACAAAATTTTTTTGTAACTAGGTTTTAGTTAGGTCTTACAGTAAACTTTTTTTAATGCAGAATTTGTGCCTTTCCACATTGGGCAAGAAACAGACAAATGAAAATGACATGACCAGTAAGGACATAGTTATACCTGGTTCGCTTTGAGACATTTCATACCTGTCTATCCAAATTAGAGAGGAGAAGTGCAGAGCATATTAACAAGCAGTGTGGAACCAGACCTATTGAATGCACCTGCTGAACCTCTCCATCACTTCCAAGCTCCAGAAGCTGTTAAATCTTGAAGGTTTGCCATTTTGATCTCTGTGGGGCACCCATTTACTTTAGCTGCTAGAACAGATTTTCTGCCTTTTAGCTCTTAGTTTTGTATTCCACCAGAATTTGTTGTCAGGCATCTGGCTCTGGCACTGCAGCAAAGCCCTTAATAAGCACTTAAATTCCTTTCCCTGTGATAAAAACCATGGTCACTCCTGCTCTTGCCTGTTGGCTGCCTGGCACTTTCCCAAAAGACTATGGGATTCCCTTCTAGCCTTTCTATTTTGAAATAAAGCAGGTTCTGATGTCCAGAGATAAATGTGAACTGTGGCTGTGCACATGATGACTGTTATGTTTCCCAGTATTAACTTGTTCTGTGTGATGCCTTAAATGTAAAAACATCCTAGCTGAAGTCTGTCTGTTGGTATCAGTTTGCCTGCTAACCAAACATAACTCAGTTTTATTTTTTTTGTTACTCCCCGCTAGTATTGAGTGTGTGACAAGCTTAGCTGAGAATTTGTGGGGTTTATGGCTGCCTCTGCTTTTCTCATCTCCATTTTTCTAAATCCTGATACTTTTCAAGCCTTATTAAAACATGTTTAATAAAGGGAAAAATTACACTGAGTCTTAGTCACTGCTTTTTTAGTCACTGTGATACCATGGAGAATTCCAGGTGTTGCTAAACCCAGATAAAGACTGTGTGACTTCTTTGGCATAATAATCTGCTTATGGGATTTCGTTTTTTTTATCTCTAGCCATGTAAGTATGATAATAGTGAAAATGATACTTGAAAGTGTGTGTGTGAATATATCATATATAAAGGAAAAATGACTCATCTATTTTTTCAAAGTAGAAAACTGTTTTTTTTATTTCTAAAAGGTTTCTTTGACTTTCTGTAATGAATTATTGGATTTTGCTTACAATAGGTAGTTTAGATAATCTTTTTTCCTATGTTGTGCCTATTAATGTTATCAAAGAGTTGGAGCCAACCTCATAGGTAAGGTTTGGCATTCTTTGAAGTAAAGCTAGTTTTTGAGCCTTATATTCCTCCGTATGTACAGGGTAGTTTATCCTAGTGCATCTCACCCTGAGCCGTACAAATACACAGAAAATATGATGGGAAATTGGAAGGTACTACTTTATTTCTGTAGCTTGAATGAAAATAAAGTTTCTGAGGAACTAATGTCTCAGCTTCTTGACTCTGTCTGGGATGTAGAGAAACACAGATCAAAGATGAATGAGTGTGGGGCTACTTGGAAATGTGTGTTCACTCTACAGTTTGGAGCTTTTGCGTAGCTGGGGCTCCTTCAGCTCACCCACAGATGAGCCTTGTTCTGAACAGAACTGGAGTGAATCAAGGGCAGAACTGAGGTTTGATTTTTGTCAGGCTGTGATGGGTTGTGAAGTGGTGCAGACTAGTACTGAGCTGTAACAGCAGTAACTGTTAGGGCAACGTACTGCAAAAAAAAATTAAATCTGTTTGGATATGGATGGCTTCTTAAGCAATAGGTGGTTCTTTCACATTTGTGTGAAATGTGAAAATGATGCAAAGGGGGGAATTGGATTTTTTTCTAACAGATTTGTGGCCTTTCCTTGCGCATCGTTTCTTGGTAGATGTGGTGCTGTCCAGCCATCTCCCTGCACTGTGCAGCAGGGTCTCACCACAGTGGGCAGTGCTGAGGGCATACCCAAACAGAGAGCTCTCAGCAGTGGGAGCTGGTTCTCCTGTAAGCTTTTATCGTCACTGCTATTGGTTACCTTCAGGAAGCCCCAGGACTGAGACACTTCTACCCTCTGACATAATCTTCTCCAACTATATTTGTATTATAATGTAGAAACATAGTCCTGGTTCTGTGCACTTGATGTTGTTGCACTAACTCTTTCAGCTGTATGGTTTTCAAGGTTGAGATTGTAATCCAGGATGAATATTTATGTGAAATTCTAGGTGGTCTGCCTGAATAGGATTAATTCTGGTTTGAATACAGCCCAAACGGTCTTTCCTCTTTTATGCTCTTGAGGTTACATCTTAATTGCACTGGAAGTGGTATGGTTTAGGGTCATCTCTAGTTAAATTAGCTTGAGGCGACTCGGTCCTACTCCTTGTCTAATTTTAAAATTTTTCTAGGTTTTAGCAAGAGAGACTCAGCTTTTTGGAAATGCTGGACTGTATATACCTTTGTTGCAATACAGGTAAGCTTCAACTGCCGCCTAGGTCTGCCTTCCTGCCGCCTAAAAGAAGCAGTTACTGGAATTTGCAGCAGACTTGACATGTGTCAGGAAGGGAGTAAAACACCTTGCCAGCTGGCTATCCTGTTGCCAACTGCTGTACCTTGCAGTGCTGAGCCTGGAGTTTGTAAGGAGGTTTGTACAGGTGCATAACCGTGCTTGATAATACTTCTACCTTAAAATCATGGTGTCTTCCCTGCATTGTGTCAGTTTTGAGAGGCTTTATTTCTGCCTATTTTATAACAGTTTCTGAGAATTTCCCTGGCATTGTTGAGATGTGCCAAGATTTTTTAACATCTCTGGAACTGTATGTTGGTTAATTCACCTGCATGCTGGCTGCAGCTGGACTTGGCTCACTTGGAAAAGCAAAGAAGAGATTCCTAGCTGCCTGGTGCATCTATTTAGTTTTTTGGTTGCGTGGTTTTTTTTTCCCAAAGCTGACCTGTGCTATTAAAGTGGAGAGTGTACATAGCTATGGTAGCCTTTCAGTTGTACCCTTTAATATCTTCCTGTAGAGGGGATGGCCAGCAGCAGGTAGAGGAGCAGCCTCACAGGAATATGCCAAAGGGCAGTGAAGCTGTTACTCAAAAGTGACCGAGCTACTGGGTCAGTGAAACAGCTGCTTCTGAATCTGAAGAGGTCAACCCAAAATACTATTAAAACTTGTAGGTTTTGTCCTAAGCGTTATAGTTCCCTCTTTCCATAGGTCTGAGCCTAAATACTTCAGAACGTCTTCAAGAAAACATTTCACACTTTGCTCTGCATGTTTTAGGGGCCAGTATAAGCTGTGCTCATACAATTGATGCCACTTTGCTGACGTAGATAAAAGCTGTGTGAGAGGGGCAGAAGCACAGTGCTGATCCGCACAAGAGGAGCTGCGTGTAGAGCATGTTTACACCAGCCAGAGTGCCTCAAGCACTGAGCTTTTTCCAGCTGCCTTTGTGCTCTTCCTCTTCAGGTAATCTTTTGCTTAGTTAAGCTACAGCTGCTGGGCTGTAAGCAGTCAAAAGTCCTTTACTGGACATGAAGTTTCAGCACAGCTCAGAGGCACAGCATGTGTGAGCTGTTCCATACCTGGTGATGGCATTAGGGGATGGGTGACTTGTGCTGCAGTTTTCGTGCCAGTATATTCAGCAAGTGCCATCTCAATGTTAATTCCAGTGAGAAAACAAGTATTATTGATGGGGATAAAGACAAATTGAAGGCATCTGAGCCAAAGCACTTCCCTGGGCCCAAGCCAGATGCTGAATCTGAAATCAGATATAATAGAGATTGAACAAGTTTTACAACTCATCCTTGATCAGCATCAAATGCTTTTGATACAGCAGCTGCTCTGTGAGGTCAGGACTGTGCATGTGACAGTTTTATCAACTTTATTGCTTACCTTAATGCTATATTTTTGGGATTTCCAGTTTACCCCGTGCTGCTCCTTTACTACAGCAGACAGAAACTGGAGTTTCCGAACTGGTATTGTTGGACAGGGCAGTTCATATTTTCCAGTTTGTAGTCTAAGCTGTCCCTTGAGTCTTGAGACAATTGACTTTAAAAGGCCTTTTAACTGCAGAAGTCTAAATGGGAGTAGAAAATAAGTTTGCAGTTCTGTTCAGCAAAGTCCCCATATAAACATCAGTCAGTCCTCAACCTGACAAGAAAAGGCTTTTGCTGTGTGGACAGTTTTCTGCAGCATTAGTCCAATGTTCACCTCAGGGGTTAGCAGATGGCTCTGGGGCGACATGAAAGTAGTAAAGGGAGAGAAAAACAAGTTTTTGTCACTTCCTGATAGTTTGCCAGAGTCCATCCTGGTCTTCATATCTGTGTGGGGAGTGCTGGGGTAGAAAATTCAATCCACGGACTTCTCTACCTGTTTCCTATCTCTGTCCATGTGATATTTTACAGAGGAAGAATTCAATTGAGTTTGAGATCTTGTAGAAAAGGAAAAAATTCAGATAAGGTGCTACTTAAATCTTTTGTTTCAGCATTTAGTGAGACTTAGATATTTCCAAAATAAAACAAAAAATTAAAAAAAAAAATCACTGAGTTCTTGTTTTCCAGTGACTTCAGGCCTGTGGTGTTTGATCTGTTCTGTTCTGGCTCCATTGTTACCCATGGAGAAAACAGTAGTTGACAGCTTAAAAAACTTAGCTTGTTGGAGTTTTTTTTCCTTTCAGTGAAGTTCCTTTTGTGCTTTGTCATTAAGCAGCATGGGGCAATTTTTTGTGGTTTAGATTTTGCTGCAGGGGCTATAGAAACGGGTGGGGATAGGAATGTGTGGATTAAGAATTTCGCCCTGGAAAAAGCTTCTCAGTGGCACAGAACTGGAAGATACTAGGAAGATATAGCAGGATGATGTGCTCCCTTAGGGAGATGGTATGCTGGAGGCACGGCTTAGAACAGCTCCAGTCCAGCTGGGCAGCAAGCTCCCTCTCTGACTCCAGTGCTGTCCCTGGCTTTTAGGCATCCTCCCTTCTCTGCTTTGTGTGTGGCTGCACTGCTGAGGGAATGTAGCCTTGTATTTCCCTGCAGCAGGCTGTGGATGGCACACAAAGGAGTGTTTGAGAGCTTCACCAGGTGTGTGTATTGTTTCCAGATACGCTCTGGAAAGGCTTAACAGCTGGGCCTGTTCCCACCTCCTTCCTGGCTGAGATGATTGGATGCTAACTCAAATACTTGCAAGCACACACTTACCAGGTGCTGGCCTCCAGCTATCATCTGCCCTCATGCAGTAATAAGATGGTAGCATAAAAAATTTCAAGCAGTAAACACATGTGGAGGGAGACATTTTGCACAGCAGTAGGCAAGCATGTCCCAAACAGAACTCCAGTAAAAAGTGAGACAGAAACCAGCAGTGCCTTCCCTTTTCACAACAGTTGGTATTGTGTTTGTTGTGATTAGGATCACCTAAAAAAACTTTTCAGCATGTTTTCCTGTACAGCTGTTCATATCTGCCCCAGCAAGAGGGACTTAACACATTTGGAAAAATCAATAGACTTCAGCTGCAGGGGGAAGGGGCATGGGCTGGCTTTTGCACTGAGCCCTTTAGAGACCTTATTTATCTAGTGGCATGAGATGTGCAAGAGGAAAATAACTGTTACATGATTCTTGTGCCTTGCCAGAGTCCAAAGCAGGAAATGCCGTAATTACAGCGGTTCTGTGTAGTTGCCTGGATTAGAAAGGTAACTCTTAAACCATGGTAGATGTTTTTGAACTTGTTGAAAGCGGTTTCCGGCATGCAGTTTGATGTGATTGTTGCTCTCCCTTCAGGGCAGGAGGACAAAAATGTGAACATTTTTTGTTCATATAGTTAGTTGTTATCGCTATGAGTTGTGGTATAAATAGGAAAATTAAGATTATGTGTAACTATAATACTGAACTGGGCTGACAGGAACTTATGTTCTATAGACTAAAATGTCGCTAAAAAGGGGATATTCTTTACTTTGCAACATGTGGTGAAATCCAGGACCTGTTTATTCTTTGGAGGCAATTTAAAAGCAAAAAAAATCCCCCAAATGCAGGTGTTCCATTACTGCTAGTAGAGCTTTAAAGATACTTTATTACTTGGAGCATTCCATGCAGAAAATTAGTTTTCTAGCTCACTTGGGAGGCAGGAGCTCTGCTGTTTGCCTTCCTTTGGCACATACTGTATTCTTGACCATGCTTATTTGAATCTTGGGGCTGACAGCAAAGATGTCCTCCTATCTACTGACTTGGTTAAAATATTGACTGAACTTTGTGTCCTGTTTCCAACAGTAGCTCATGACAGATGATTAGGAAACAGCTTAAGAATTGGAAGATCTGTAGTGTAATCCTTGCACTGGGACACCTTGTTAACTTCTGGCAGAAGTACCTAGACCATCATATATAATAGCTCCTGATTGATCTGTCTCCATTAATTTGGTGAGTCCCTTTATGAATGAATTTATAGTATTGTTCTTCAAAGTTGTCATGGCAGTTGAATTTCCAGCACAGCGATGCCTTGTGAGGAGGCAGTTCCGCCTGTGTCATCCTCTGTAGCACCTTCCCACAAACAAACCTGTCTTGGATTGAACCTCCCCTTTCAATTCAGTCTGGTGTCAGACATGTCAAAACTACCACTTAACAGAGGAGGTGGAGATACTTGTCTTTGCTTTAGGTTTTGGGTTTTTTTAAAAAACCTATGCTCTCTACCAATCCCATTTACGGTTTAGCTTGCATATTTTGTTGGGTTTTCAGTTGTTGAATACTGGAAACCTGGTTAACAACTTCATTTCTTCCACCTAGGGCAATGCAAACAGCGCAGTTACAGTATGTAAATAAAAGTATTGCAATTTAGCAGACTATGTTGTAGAAAGGATGGAATTACAGAAGCAGAAAATCTGTTTTTCAAATTAAAAAAAGAAAGGGGCAACTCCTGATAATTAGTACAACTTTTCCAAAGTAGTTCTGTCTGCCTTTCTCCAAGTCTACCTCACCTTATAAAGCAGACCAGGGGTGTTTCAAATGCAAGCTTTATTTTTTGACCCTAGTAATAGTTAGATCATTAAGCCCAGATGTCACTTGGCAAAACTATCTGTAGGTACTGTGGGCTTTTCACTTTGCTGCTGCTGTAAATCCTCTTTCATTTAAAAGTAAGCAAATACAAATGGTGTATATTTGTAGGGGAACCCTCTCTCCTGTACTCCATCCTCTTGTGTTAACTATTTTAAAGCAGCTCCATGGGTTCCCAATTACTTTAGGAACCTTGTGCTCTAATAAATGAAACAGCCATAAACAAAGCCAGCTTAATCTCGTCACGTCAGGCATTTTGCCATGGGAAGTCATCGTTAGCTGGCTCAACTCTGTCAAATTGAAGAGGTACTGAGAGAGAGAGAGATGACCCATCATGTAAACTCATCTTTCTCTGTCGTGGTGAGAGAGCTTTATACATTGCCCTCTCTCTGGGCTCTGCAGACCAGGAACCACACTAACTCGACCAGCAGGACCCTGTTTGCAACTCTGCAGTATGAGGTGTATTTCCATGGAGCAACATCTCCTTGGGTGAGTACGTGCCTGTGTCTTCAGGTTGCCTCCTTCCAGAGTTCAGACTCCTTCCTCCATAAAAAAATGCTTCACAGGCTTTTGAGGTAGCTACAGTAGCTTGCTCTTTTAAAGCTGACCTTCAAAGGAATAAATGCTGTCAGCATGTTTGAGGAGGTCCTGATTACTTTTTCTTTCTTTTCTGCTTGTTCTTTATGTCACTGATTAAGATCTTGTCTATCCTGGATGACAGAGTGGCAGATCTGGAAATGTAACAGAAATGTGAATTCACAAGAGCAAAACTTGGATCTGCTTGAGGGTAAGGGTCTTTTTTTTTTTTTTCCCTTTGATTGTTCTAGAATAATTAATTAATGGTGAAGCTTGCAAAAAGGAAGGAGCTACTGTTCCTGATAAATAGAAATGTATATAAGACCCTCACTCTCATAGGTATAAGTTTTTTATTTTTTAGGGTATCTGACCTATTACTGGAGCCTGAATTTCAGGTGCATGGACTTTCCCTATTGAGAGACCTTGCTGTAATTGCTACAATTCTTCTTTATAGAACTGTTAGTTTTTCTCTGCCAAAGAAACATCTTATTTGATGTGTTATGTCGCGTCCTGAAAAACTTAACTCCTTTTTAGACAAATTCAGTTGAAGATAAAAATACTTCCAAAACCCATTGTGCTTCATTTGTGCACAAGTTTTGCCAGTAAGGGAAGTTTTATAAATATCCCTCATCTTGCCTCCATAAAATTAACTTTCATACATCTGTACTGTAATTTATTAATAAAAAATTTCTTAGTTCATAAGCTTACAAAAATACCAGCCATTCCACATAATAACTACTTTAAGATAAGTTTTTTACATTCCAGGAGTAAGAGGATATAAATCTTACAACAACTGATAGAAGACAGGCTCAAATAACAGAAAATTCCAGCTATAACCTACTTTCCCTTGGAGAAAAAATAAAAAAAGGGAGGAAGAATGTAAGATTTTATAAATATGCCAAGTTTGCATTTTATTTCAGTCCTCGGATTTAGTTGAAATAACTGTATCTGTGTTATGGACCTGCATTGTAATGCATAGGCTCTGTTTGGTGTCTTTACTTTAGGTAAAGTTTCTGGAGAGACCTGTAATGCAGCGGTAAACTCTGCGCACAAGATTCAAAAGCTGAATGTGAAAACTGGATGCTGGTGGTTGTTGCTGAGTCATGCTGACAGCTCAGCCTGGTTAGCTTTAATGAAGGTTCAAAGTGGAACAGGGCATCTTCTTGAGTAATGAGGTAAGACCGAAGAAGTCCTGCAGGCAGTACCCGTGCTCAGTCTGATTCCTGCTGAACTTGCTGTGCCTCTGAGCTGACAGTAAGGGAAAGAATTTGGCTTCTGATTCTCGGGTTTCTGGTGCTGTAATTAGGGCTTTGGCTTTTTGGCTCTCTGCAGAGCAGCATCTTAAAGCAATCTGAACAGTTCCTTTGCTGTCAGATATCACTGGGGTGTAAACAAATTTTCATTGACTTCAACGATGGTGCCCAAAGTTTTACTTTTTAATTTTTCTTAAATGTGATTAGGCACTCTTGCAGTGAAGGCTACCATTGCTGCCAAGGGATTCTGGGAACACATATAAAATACAATTTACATGTGAGTAAACTACGAATGGATGAACTTTCTTTTGATAACCAGTTAGGTTAGAACTCAATCGTGCCCTGGAAAGCCAGTGGAAAAGGGACATGGAACCTCAAGGCAAAAGTATTTTCTCCCTAAATCAATCCTTTGTGGTATCTGTCACAGGATGTCCTTTTGCAAATGTGTGTCCGCCATAGAAAATGGCTTAATGAAAAAGTTGTATAGCAACAGATGTTGTTTGTCTTCAGGTGGGTTTACTCAAGGTGCAAAGGATGTGCTTCCTGTTTTCTGACTTTGTGGGCACGTATTTGGCTGGGGAAAAAAGATGCCATTAGTGTGTGGTAGTTCATACCCTACCAAGGATAGAGCTGTTTGCCCTTTCGGTATGAATCACCCTGGACTAAGCACTGCATGATGCCAATCAGTTGTTTCATCCTGTTAGTTCTTGTGAAAAATAAAGTTTCTTGCTCTCTCACCTGCCTTGCATTAGTAATCTGGCCTTGCACATAAACTAAGATCACTCCTTTTCTCACGACCAAACAAAGCCCACTTTGAAAGTGCGCATGACTCCTGCTAGCTCTGACAGCTCTGGTCTGCAGCCCCTGTCAGTTATTATTTTGTGAAAGTTCAGGTTTCAAACTCACCTGTCTGCCTGACACTACAAGGTTTCCCTTTGGATATATTCATTGGATGTGACTTTAGCTTTATTTACCACTAGGCTTGTTTTACTGTTCCAAGTAAGGGCTAGCCGCTTCCTAGAGCAGAACGTGTGGTATTTGTCAGAAGGAGACTGCTTTAAGGCTTCCAGATAACCTGACCAGCCTGCTCCTCTGTAAACAATTTTGTGGGCCCTGCTGATAAGGATAAAGCAACTGCACTGAAGATGATTAGAAGATGCTGATATCTGTAGGGGAGCAGACTAGTACTGCTCTGGCATATGACTACCCTTGAAGAAAAGCACTTACAAACTTATGAACATTTATAACATCTTGTTACTGGTGATGGCACTGATCTGCAGTTTTTCTGCTGTCAGTGTATGCCATCAAGCCCCAGATGCTTGTTATTTTGTTCTGATCAGAATCCCTGCATTGGTTTGCAGGCCCACAAGAAACTCTCTGTGGCTCTTTGCAACAAACTAAATGATGAACAAACTCCCTCCAGACCAGTCTGGGTGATGTTTATCAAAGGGTTACTCATATAGATCTTGCCTGTACTGGAAAAGGTATTATACCCCTAGAATGAGGCAGCTGGATCCATGGAGCTGCTGGTTCCCCTAACTGTTCAATCTTTATCTGAAATTGATTTTAAGCCTTGCAGGATTTATATAAGATTTTGCAGTTAGGGATTACGTAGACCTATGAGGTCATGCCAGTGACATTTTGCTTGTTAAAAATTGTGTTGTAGATTAGATTCTAAGGGACTCAAGTATTTTAAAACTGTCATTCAACCTTTACAGGTGGACCAAATTTATCTGGTGGCCATGTATAATGAAAACCCTGAGAAGAAGAGTGGAGATCTGTTTTCTCGTTATAATGGCAGCAACAGAGAAGTGATGGCTTTAGGTTAAACCTGTCAGGTTTCACCACTGCAGGCAGGGTAAGGAGAGCAACACCTTCATCCTTCCAGCAAACCGGCAAATAGAAAAGCGAAGACTACAAAGCAGAAGAGGCTGAAAGGAGAATCTGGGGTCTAAGGAGAAGATGGCTCAAACAGAAGCACTGCGTATCCTGCAAATACTTGCTGTGTTGAAGCATGGGAAGCCATAAAAGCAGTCTGAAAATCTGAGTATTTACCATCTGCAGAAAGAGAGAAGGGGAACCAGAGAGCAGGTATTAGCTTTTTTTCCTCTGGTTCTATTGCCAGAGGGCCAAGACAGGTAATGGTTGCAGCTGTCTCCAGGATATGTGGGCAAACCTATCAGAATCCTTGCATTGCTTTCATTTCAGTGCAACTCTGCTCCTTACACCAAATTCTTTTAGAAGATCTATAGACTGCTACTGCCTGCCCTTGCCTTTCCCTGTGTAATTTTTGCAGGAGAAATGGATCAATTTTGCTTGATGTCTGCTGCTTTTAAATCAGCTTCAACTGATGTGAGACTCAAGTGGTGGCAGCTGGGAGACTGCTTAGCTTCAAGCATGGCTGGAGTTGTTCTGTGACCCGAAGAAGATGGCAGAATGCCATGCATTAAGGGTGATGGAAAATAGGTATGTGGGAGGAAGCCCTAACTCAAACAGTTAATACACCTAAATGTGAAGAAAAGAGGATTTGGTGTCAAAGTACATCTGTTGCCTGTGGTTTGATGCAGTCAGCATGACGTATTGCTAAACCTTTGTTCCAGCTGTCATAGGCACCTAAGTTTATGTGATTTTTCATTGACTGCTGCTTTTGAAATTTAGTGCTTCTGACATACAGGAAAATTTTTTTTCAAAGTGTGAGCGAGCCTGCAGGATGGGTGTGTTGGTAGTACATGGCTGACCACTGTGCTGAGAGCTTTAGTGCAGCAGCATTTAAACTCCTGGCTGCAAGGGTAGTTAGAAACAAAGAGAATCAAACTGGATAGCTCTTGTCAAGTCCTCTGATTCATAGTTCCTGAAGAGATTCTTGTCCTAGTCTACTCCTATGTGCTATATAAAGGAAAACATATAAACTCTTCCCTTTGTATTTAGAAAGCAGGCACGGATTAGGCTTACTAAGCAATAATCAGCTTTCACTGGTTTAAAATTAACTAAAACAGCACTAGTCTTTTTTTCTCTCAGCTGGTGGCAGTGGGGGACAGAAGATGTCTGGAGGAGGTGGCTCAGGCTTTTGTCACAGTGTGAAGAGAGATGTGACCTGCAGCAAGCTCTGTCCATTGCCAGAGGCATGGTGCTATGTCCATCCTGGATGAGTTTTCCTGGCCTATCTTCCCAGCTACCAGAATGGCTGTACTGGAGAGGTGAAGACTGCACTATTAGGGAGGGGGGAGGGAGAGGTGTTGTTCTGATGGGATGGGACTGCATGTCCTGGGGCTGGTGGCATGCCAGCAACAGCAGGTGTCCTTTGCTGTCCACCATCCTCAACCTGTTACCCTAAAGAGAATTTCTCTGGGCACTCTCCTCTCCTCCCCTGCGCTGATAGTTGAGCTATTTATTTGAGTTGTAATTGAAACAGGCACGTTGGGGATTTTAAGCCCCTGCCCATTTCAGGGGTAAGGACACTGAGATGCCTTTGCTACCTTCTCTTCCTTTGCTCCCCTGATAACATGCTAAGAACTTCAATGACAGAGGATGTTTCTGATAGCTCAGGTGAGTTTGGTTTTGTTTTATTTTGGCTGAATAGCAGCTAAAGTTTTCCCCTTTCCACTGCTGAGCAGTTAAGCCAATGGCCTCCTCCTGAAATCACAACTGCAATCCATTTTCTCTGTTAAAGCAGCAATGATGCAATAGTGCACAGCATAGCACAGAGCAGTGCCTAGGAGGCAACACTCACAATTTCTTCTGTTTGCCAAGTTTCTTCTGTTTGCCAAGTCATGCTGGGAGTTGTAACTTAAGGCTAAAAACCCTCCACAGGGTGTGGAAGGCCTATGTGTCAAGCATCTTTGCGTCTCCTTTTAGATGGCACTGAATAGTAGAAGGCTATTTTCCTTTTCTAGCATTAGGGGGAGCACAGCTGTTAAGAGAAAGATACTACATGGTAAAAAAAAAAAAGAAAAAGAAAAAGAAAAAAGATACAAACTGGAAAAAAGTTCTGAACCTTATGAGTCCATTTAAACCCTGTCCCTACACAATGGTCTGTTTATAATCCCTGTGCCACCGGTAACAAAGTGTCTGCAGGCACCCAGGACTGTAGGACCTTGCTCCCAGAGATGTCAGGCAAAGAGGAGGAATAGAAATGGACAGCCTGCTAATTTTTCAGTCCCCTAGAAAGAAGCAAATAAAACTGAGTGACATTAACAACTGTTTTAAGCTTTCTTGGCGTTCCAGAAACCACGTTGACAATGTTACAACAGCTATTCAGGAATGCTGTTATACCACCAGGGCTGTCTTTGAGAATTTATAGACTGTAATTTCTTGTTTTAGCTTCCAGTGGTGTCACTGATGATTGTACATAAGGCCTTGGCTACAGGGGAAAATACTCTTCTCTTGTTCCAAACCCTTGACTCTGCAAATTGATTTTGTTTTGCACTTTGGTAGGAACATTGCCCAATAAGCTGTGTGGTAAAGCCTCTCTACCCATAAAATCCCCAAACTCTTAATGATTTTCTCAGAGCTAGGATTTCACATGTGAGCTCAAAGTTCATAGGCCTATGTAATTCCTCTGCTTCTACCTCTACTGGCTTGTGCTTGCTTCCTCTGCTTATGAAAATACTTTATTGATCAGATCTCTTTAAAACCATAAGGATACTTCCTGGCTACTCAATGAGCAAGGCTAGCAGAATCAGTCCCTGTGTGCATAAAAGGTACCAGATAATGACATTTAGGCCAAATTCTATCAGGGATATTTTACTTCATGTATTTTTCCTCAACTCAGCACACGCTTTAATCATTGGAATGGACAGGCTGATTGATTGCTTGGCTGATTCCTCTACACTCAGCACCTAAAAATAAATGTTTAAAAGTTACATAATCTTGGAGTTAAGGCTGCTGTCTGCATATTCTTTGGAAGTGAGAAGTCCAAGTTAGGGCTTATGCTTTGGGAGAGCAGAGAGGATCCTCTGAGAGCAGACAACGTACCAGACTTGGTTTGTAAAGAAAGGTCAAGAGAGAGCATTGTAGTTTGATTCTGCTCTTTCCACAGGTGTGATCAGCCGGCTCTTGGTGGTGTTACTGATTTGGTTCTGTCAGGTTCACAGGAACATGTCAGCATCCATGCATCTCAAGCTAGTCCATTCTAGCACATGTTCAATTTGCTTCTTTAGGAATATACCAAAGTTAGTATTGTGAGGAGAAATGAAGGACAAAGTATTTAAGAAGAATTGTTCCTTCCAAGGGAAAAGTTTGAGATGCCCAAAAGAGGCATGCCTGGGTGCCAAACAATAGTACTGCTACCTGCAAGAATACTGTGCAAGGAGGAAAAATTGTAACTGGTACATGTGGATCTCTCCTTAGTAGTATTACTCGAGGAGAAGTTCCTATGAGACGTGCGATATTTGTAGTGCTTCCAGAAGTCAGAGAAGGAGAAGTGGGAGAGAGTTGAAAGGTACTAAAGAGGGAGGAAGAATCTGGGGAAAGGCAAGGAAGAAGGCCAGAAAGAAAAAACATTTGTAGGTCATTCTGTGAAGGGTACAAAGGTAACACATGCTCCAGAGGGACAGTGCCATGAAAGTTACAATAGAAATCACCAGTGGGAAAGGATACTCTTCTTTCCTCCTTTTTTTTTTTTTTAAATTTAATTCAAAAGGATAGCAGGAGCATGATGCAAAGTGTTATTCATATACTGGGGAAGACACACATATGAGGACATCTGTTTTAAGAAGCTGCTTCAAAAATAACCACAGGAGAGGAGTGTGTTTGCAAAGTGCAGCAGGCAACCTGCAGAGCAGTGAAAAGTAAGACAGCAGTGGTGCTCTGAGTGCAGACAGCCCCAAATGTTTACAGGATTGTGTACATTTATACTCGCTGCTGAACCATCTCACCCTGACCTCTGTGGGTGTTTTACAAATGGAAGGAGGTGCTGTTTCCATGTTTTCTGCATGAGAACATTGATCCCTTTTCTGTTGCTCTCCTTCTTGACCCCTTTTTCTTAAGTCAGCAGCTTCTAAATTCCAGTTTCAAGCCTCTAAGAAATAACCCTGTTTCAATGAATATCCAAAATGTATGGGAGAGGAATACAGATTTGAATACTACTCCATCCCAAAGATGAAGCATTATTTGCCTGGAAAAAAAGGAAAAGCAGGCTGAGAGATTTTGAAGCAGGATGCTCATATCCAGCATTCTACCCTAGCCTCTTACTGACTGCTGAGTACAGGAACAGGCAGCAACCTGGCCACTGATTTACTGAGATGCTGTGAGGAAGTTCATTACAGCTTACCTGTTGTTTCAGCTTCCCAATGGGTAAAACAGAAGTGAAAAGCACAACTCTTGTGCTCGTCTTCTTCCTAAAGTCTGTGGTTTCAGACAGCTCTGAAAGTGCTGTGGTGTAGGATTCAATGCAAGTATCAGGTGTGATCCATTAGTGAAATGAGAAGGGGTAAAGCCAGATGGCAGGAGGCATCCCACTGGGGAACACAATGTTTCAGGCACCAGGCAGTTAATTTCTTGTGTTAGCCTGGTAAGAGAGCATGTTTGATAAAGACCAGATGAACAATGAGCATAATTGTGCATTGGGAGATTCAACCTCTCCTTAAAACAGAACTTTGACAAAACATTCATGAAGAATTGTCATCCCTATGTATTTTCTAGTTTTTCGTAGGAGAATCAATGGCAAATACCACTTCAAAGTAGCAACCAGATGTTTCCCTCCTGCTTTTTTAGCTACCCATTGTGGGTAACAGAAACATTTCACAAATAGAAGTGAGAGTTTGATATATAGTAGCTGATATCAATCTAGTAGGATTTCTTTTCTGCACTAGTGGCTGTCAGCAAGTAACACTGAGCTGACTTGGGATGTACCCTACCTCAAGGGAAGAGTTATCCTCTGTACTCCCTCCAGTACTGTGTTTTCTGATAAAGAACAAATGTGTCTGCTAAAATCAGTTCATGCTGCAGTAACCAGTTGGAGCAAATCTTTGTTTTCAGTTATAAAAAAATCTCCCTTACAGCACAAAGTTAACTATTTGGAGTTTTGCAGAATTATTCCATATTTACCTGGCTATGCAGGGTATAACCCCAGCTGCACTTTGGCCAGTGTTCGGTAGCTGAGTGAAACCTGCAATGCATTTTCATATGTATGTAAACCAATAAAGGGATGTGCTTTGGACAGAATCTGATATTTCAAAAGAGTTGAGTAGCAGTCAAATTAGCTTGGAGTAAAATGTAGCAACAGGGAATTTAATATCATGCTGTTACTCTATAGGTTAAACAGAGATGGAAATCAATTGCTTGTCACTATGTAAGAGGCTGTATCTCTAATATTGGCTGTTTTAAGTAAAGTACTTACATTTACAGTTAAATAAACAGATGATTTGCTTTATGTTTTTACTGGGGCTCAATTCACATTGAAACCAATGGTCATTTAATGTCTAAATTGCTTATGCCATCCCGCTGGATACCTCTTCTCAGTGCCCAAGCAAGTTGCAGACTAGGCCCTGCAGGACTTGCATCTGACTGCTTTTAAGTGGGCTTCTAAGCACTGAGATTGCTTTTGGAATGGGAGCTCTGGCATACTGCACTGAATACTAAGAGGTATTCAGGCATACAAATTGTTTGGTTTTTAAACTTTCCTTGAAGTATTTCATGGTTTACTATTTTGATGTCACTTCAGGCTTTGCCAAGATTAAGCTTTTTCTATTACTTTGTAACCATATAGAAGATATAAAACAGTTCACTCTCAAAAAGCTTTTTATTCCAGCTAGGACTATGCATATGGCTTTCTGTGTTTAGTTGTTTGATTGCATCATTCTTGTTTCAGTTGTGACAATTTGGCTTACACCTTTCTCTTCTTGTGTGAAGTGAGATCTGAGTGCACTGCACCATTCTGTTGTGCATACCCACTGGACATGCTGTTCTCTGCTATGGGACTATGGAAAAATGCCCAAATTTTTCTCTGAATGCTGCTATACAGGTGCAGGCAGGGTGGCAGGTGTAAACTCATTGGGACAAAGATGTATTCTGAAAGAAGGACTGACTAAGCACTGTAAGCAGGCACCTGTAAGCAGTTGTACTTCTACAGTGTAGAACACTGACTGCAGGCTCCTCCTTGTCCACCCAGCCAAAGCTGACCTTGTGTTTGATACGGTTACTGCTCTTGTCTGTCTCCAGTTTGGCTGCAGGGTCCTGTGCACCTTAGCTAACTCCCTAGATGTCTCACTG